TCTTCTCCGGTTTGACCCTCGCAGCGACCCTCTGGGGCAGGCAGTGTTCCCCCATCTTACAGATGAGGAAGCAGGCGCTCAGAGGGTTAATGGCTCCCCGCAGGTAACACGCTCCTCCGTGGCCCCCTGACCCCCTGGCCTTCACTGCCTGCACTTCTGGACGCCTCCCAGCCCGGCCGCCACTGCCCGCCCGGCTGGTGTTGGAGCATGTCCTGTTTGCCATGGCCAGACCAGCCCCTGGGCCCCTGCGCACGTGCTTGGCATCCCTGGGTGCCCATCAGGAGTTTGTGGAGAGCCAGCTCGGGCCCCTGGCAGCCGGGGGTCAGGGGCTCGTCTGGGGCAGCGACCCTGGTGACTGTAGACAGCAGGCCTGTATGAGGCCGTCCACCCAGGCGTGCGTGGCTCGTGGCCCGTGGCCTCTGCCTGAGCTGAGACGTGGGAGCCGGCTGAGTGGTCTCGGGGACACCGCGCCCCAGCTCGGGCACATGGCCGCGAGGCCCCAGGGCTGCTGTGCCCAGAGAGACCTGCGGGCCCCGTTGCCCTGGCATTAACATGCTCTCACCAGACACACCCACTCCGGCTCGGGGTGTTTCAGCATCACACCCCCCAGGGGGGAGAAGCCCTCGCGGCTCCCGCTGCCTTCAGGGTGGAGTCCAGACCCGCCCCTCAGCCCCTGCTGTCCCCGCCCCCACCCGCATGCCTTGCCCTCTCCTGCTCCAGACAGTTGGCCTGGAGGGCGTCGGTTTTGAGGTCCTTGTTGGAACGTTCCCTCTGTCTCTGTCGCCCCTGAGCCTGAGTCCTGCTTGGTGAGGATCCCGATGGTGACCTCTCGGTCACGCCTGACCCGGAGCCCCTGGCGCAGCCGGCCCGGGTGCTGGTCAGGAGCGGGTGGATTGCATGCTGCCCCTCACGGCTCAGGTGTGCCGAGCCGCTGGGGCCTGGGCGAAAAGGGAGAGGGCAGCTCGGGGAAGGTCCCGAGTCCAGCCTCACCACTGCCAGCTGTGTGACCTTGGGCCAGCTGTATGACCTTGGGCCAGCGACGCGGCCCTCTGAGCCTCCGTCCCCATTGCGGGGGCAGCTGGGAGGATGGACGCGGCCGAGCGGGCATGGCTTTGCTCGGTGCCTGGGCGGGAGTCGGTGCTACAGAGCAGCTGCCACGACTCAGGGTCTCAGCCGGCTTCGCCCTGGCGCTCACGGGTGGTTTTGCTGTCACAGAAAAAGGGCGTGAAGCGGAAAGCAGACACGACCACGCCCACGA